CCATCTCCTTGGCCTACTACTTGGGCTGTTTCAGGGACTGCTTTTTTTTTTTTTTTTAAAGATTTATTTTATTTATTTGAAAGACAGAGTTAGAGATCTTCCATCTGCTGGTTCACTTCCCAGATGACCGCAACGACTGGAGCTGCGCTGATCAGGAGCCAGGAGCTTCTCCCAGGTCTCTCACATGGGTGCAGGGGCCCAAGCACTTGGGCCGTCTTCTACTGCTATCCCAGGCCATAGCAGAGAGTTGGATGGGAAGAGGAACAGCCAGGACTAGAACCGGTGCCCATATGGGATGCTGGCACTTCAGGCCAGAGCTTTAACCCACTGAGCCACAGCGCCGGCCCTCAGGGACTGCTTTTTAAAAATTTATTTATTTGAGAGGCAGAGTTAGAGAAGAAGAGATGGAGAGAGATCTTCCATCTGCTGGTTCACTCCCCAAATGGCTGCAATGGCTGGAGCTGAACCAATCTGAAGCCAGGAGACAGGAGCTTCCTCCAGGTCTCCCACGTGGGTTCAGAGGCCCAAGGACTTGGGCCATCCTCTGCTGCTTTCCCAGGCACATTAGCCGGGAGCTGGATCAGAAGTGGAGCAGCTGGGAGGCCAGTGCTGTGGCACAGCAGGTTAAAGCCCTCGCCTGTAGCACTGGGATCCCATATGGACACTGGTTCGAGTCCTGGCTGCTCTACTTCCAATCCAACTCCCTGCTAATGCACCTGGGAAAGCAGTGGAGGATGGGCCAAGAACTTGGGCCCCTGCACCCATGTGGGAGACCTGGAGGAAGCTCCTGGCTCCTGGCTTTGGATCAGCTCAGCTCTGGCCATTGCAGCCATTTGGGGGAGTGAACCAGTGTATGAAAGACCTCTCTATATAATTCTTTCACATAAATTTAAAAAGATGTCAGTTTTATACTTGAAACCTTGTTTGAGTCTGGCTGGTATGAATACATACAACTTCCAGGGGTCATGTGGCTGGTGTATGTTGCTGTCACCACCTTGGGACTCATGGGGTGAGGGACACAGTTACCTTTACAGTGGTGAGAGCCAAGAGAAGGAAGAGGGAAGAGATGAGGAACTGGGAATGGTGTTAGGTTTACTTGATCTGAAAGGAAATGGTAGACGGTGCAAGGGTCAGCTTTTAACCAGCTGTGTGGACTGATACAAAGCACAGGTTCTCTCCTCAGAATCTGCATGTTCAGAGATGCTGTTCTTGTTTTATGTTGCTGCTGTTTTCAGGAAGGGGGACTGCAGGAAATGCCACTTTCTTTCTCCGATATGACTTCAACAAATACATTTGTCTTGTGACTTCTCTACTTGGAGATGAAGTAAGCTAATGCCAGAAGAGGCTGTGTTCTGTGCTCGTTCTCGGCAACCTGTGGTAGCATCTGTGTTTCAGTGGTTGGAATGCTGTCTTGGTACCCATCCTCATGAGAACTTTATTCTAACAGCTTTATTGAGGTATCATTCACATATTCTACCATTTATCCATCTAAAGTATGTAATTCAGTGGCTTTTAGGTTTTTATATCCATTACCATATCAATTTTAGATCATTTTTGTTATCCCCTAAGAGAAACTGTACCCACTTAGCCTAACTCCTCTCATTATTTCTCTCTCCCAGCCATAGGTAATAACTAATTAGATCATCACTCATCTATTTTCTGTCTCTATAGATCTGCATATTCTGGACATATAAGTGGGATTATATAGTTTGAGGTCCTTCATTACTGGCTTTTTCCCCTTAGGATAATATGTGTTGGTGTCATTTCTATTATAGCATGTATTTGTTCTTCCTTACTTTTTATAGGCACATAATATTCCACTGTATGGATAGACCACAATCTATCCACTCATCAGTTGATGGGCATTTATATTGTCTCCTCTTTTTGTTATTTTGAATAATGCTGCTGTGAAATTTATGTGAGCATATGTTTTTGGTTCTCTTGGTGAGTCCTATGGTAACATTGTGCTTCATTTTACAGTCCCAGCAGTAGTGTATGAAGGTTCCAATTTCTTCACATCCTCACCAACACTTGTTATTTGTCTTTTTTTTCAAGTGATTTATTTATTTGAAATCCAGAGTGATAGAGACAGAGATCTTCCATCCCCTGATTAACTCCTCAAATACCTGTAACAGCCAGGGCTGCACTAGGCCAAAGCCTCAGAGAAAATTTTCTCTGAGGAATTGTCTTCTTTCATGGTCTTAGATCATTTTACTTAGCTCTTTACTAGCACACACATTTCACTCAGCTTGCACGTAGATATTCATATATATTGGGTGATTGAAATCATGCAAGGATCTCATAAATAATCACTGGAGGGGGTCCTGTTACTTGCCAGAGACAAAGTGAATTTTCTCTTACTAAGAGATACCATGACCTGGAACCCAGGAAATGGTGTATTTGGGCAAAAACGTGTTGCATGTCCTAGAGGCCATTGGGTCATCTGTATCCAGGTTGTAATAGGACTTTTGATGTCAGGCCACTGGGTTGTGTATCTGTAAGACTCTTCAGGAACTTGGCAAATCTCATAAGATTATTTTACTCATCGTAGCCAACATCGATGCCCACTGTGTGTCGTGAACTTGGAACCAGATGTGGGATGGGTTTTTCTTCTGCTCTGGTGGGTAATAGAAAGGTGGAAGCCCAGAGTGGGGATGAATTTGGTGGCAAATTAATAGATACAAGAGTTGTGGATTTTACTCACCCCGGTTAGGGCATTGGAGAAGCCATAGCTCTCAACTCTGTTCCCTAGACGCTTGTGAGTCCTGCTGCTTTCTCTCTCACAGACATGGGCAACTGTGGACTAGTAGTAGTTTGCTCTTCAAATAGTTCATTGTTTTAAAAAATGTATTTACTTATCTGAAAGGCAAAGTGATGGGTGGTAGGGGGAGAGAGCCTCCATCCTCTGGTTCACTCCCCAAAATGCTGCAATCACCAGGTCTGAGCCAGGCTAAAGCCAGAAGCCACAAACTTCATCTGGTTGCAAAGGGCCCTAGCACTTGAGCCGTCATCCACTGCCTTCCCACATGCATTAGCAGGGAGCTGGATTGGAAGTGGAGTAGCCAGGATGCTGGCCCTCTTCTAATAGTTGGTTTTAGGAAACTGGATATGCTTTACCTAGGGATTTTCTCAACTTCTTATTTTCTTGGATTCTCTTGCCCTTCAAAGTTAGTATTTCTCACCATTTTTTCTTTTTAAAAAATATTTACTTATTTTAAAGGCAGTGTTACAGAGAGGCGAAGGCAGAGAGACAGAGAGAGAGGTCTTCCGTCCAGTGGTTCACTCCCCAATGGCCGCAACGGCTGGAGTTGTACCAATCTGAATCCAGAAGCCAGGAGCTTCTTCCGGGGTTTCCCATGTGGGTGCAGGGGCCCAAGAACTCGGGCCATCTTCTACTGCTTCCCCAGGGGATGCAGTCATCCCATATGGGCAATGGTTTGAATCCTGTCTGCTCCACTTATGATCCAGCTCCCTGCTAATGGCCTCAAAAAAGCAATGGAGGGTAACCCAAATATTTGAGCCCCTTCACCCATGTGGGAGACTTGAAAGAAGCTCCTGGTTCCAGGCAGGTGCCACGGCTCACTTGGCTAATCCTCCGCCTGCGGCGCTGGCACCCCGGGTTCTAGTGCTGGTTGGGGCACCAGATTCTGTCCCGATTGCTCCTCTTCCAGTCCAGCTCTCTGCTGTGGCCAGGGAAGGCAGTGGAGAATGGCCCAAGTGCTTAGGCCCTGCACCCACATGGGAGACCAGGAGGAAGCACCTGGCTCCTGACTTCAGATCAGTGGCCATCTGGGGGTGAACCAATGGAAAAAGGAAGACCTCTCTCTCTGTCTCTCTCTCACTGTCTAACTCTGCCTGTCAAAAAAAAAATAAAAAAAGAGCTCCTGGTTCCAGACTAAACCCAGCTTCTGGCCATTGTGGCCATCTGGGGAGTGAACCAGTGAATGGAAGACTTCTCTCTCTCTCTCTCTCTCTCTCTCCATGCATTCTGCCTATCTTAAAGACAGAAGAAAAAAAAAAAAGCAAAAAAAAAAAAGGCCAGAACTCAATCTTTTGTGAGTGTCAGGGACTCAGGTACTTGAGCCATCACCTGCTGCCTCCTGGGCCGTGCATTAGCAGGAAGCTGGATGGGAAGCAGAGTAGCCAGGCACTCTGATACAGGTGCAGACATCCCAGTCTGAGCTTAAACTGCTGTTCCACACCACCTGCCCCTTCTCTTCATCACTTTTTAATGGAACTTAGATTTAATTTATCTTGCCTTCTTATACAACTTATTTAAGGTACCGACATTAATCGTGTTCTGAAACATCTGTTTGATTAAAAAAAAGCCACTATAACATAAGGTAATTTCCTTTAAAACGTTAGCAGTCTCATTTTAATCTCTCATTTCTTAAAGGGAGGACAGTTACATATTTTCTTATTCTGTGGCAAAGGAATGAATTCCTTCTTTCCTTCCACTCTTACCCCCTTCTTTCTTTTCTTTATTTCTTCATTCTTCTGTTGAGTTCATCACTGTTAATATTTGGAATCATAGGGCTGGCACTGTGGTGCAGTGGGTTAAAGCCAGGGCCTGCAATGCTGGCATCCCCTATGGACACCAGTTTGAGTCCTGGCTGCTCCACTTCCAGTCCATCTCCTTGCTGATGCACCTGGGAAAGCAGTGGATGATGGCTCAAATTCTTGGGCCCCTGCACCCACGTGGGAGACCCAGAAGCAGCTCCTGGCTTCCAATAGGCTCAGCTCTGGCCATTGTGGCCATTTGGGGAGTGAACCAGTGGATCGAAGATTCTCTCTCTCTCTCTCTCTCTACCTCTCTCTACCTCTGTCTCTGTCTCTACCTCTCTACCTCTCTGTCTCTGTCTCTACCTCTCTCTGTAACTTTCAAAAATACATAAAAATAAAAATCTTTAAAAAAATTGGAATCACTTTTCTCCAGCAGCCACGATCTCCCTTTCTCCCATGTAATCCTCTTACCTCCTGCTCCTGGTGTCTCCATACAGCCATATGTGTCCCTGGCTCAGCAGATGGCACCACCTAGTCCCAGCAACAGCACCCCCAACAGTAGCAGCGGGAGCAGTGGAAACGACCAGCTGAGCAAAACCAACCTCTACATCCGAGGACTGCAGCCAGGCACTACTGACCAGGACCTCGTCAAGCTGTGCCAGCCGTAAGTCGTGGAACGGGGAGTGGGCTTCCAGGGACAGGATGGAGTTGGCTTGCTTGCCGGCTACTCTTACCCTGGAGTGCAATATTGTTTTACTTTTAACCCATATTCACAAGGTTTCTCAGCACCTCTCCTTAAAAAACAAAATTCTGCCCACTACTAATAAATATCTTCTATGTTTCCCTAAGGGGAGCCAAGGTGGGGCTCACCCTTGGGGCCCACTGTCCAACTTTGTTTACAGCATCTCTTCTGAACTTTTAGCCTTAATGCAAAGACTGCTGACCTTGCGCCTTCAAGGGAAATGTTCAGTATCTGTGGGTAATGATTAGAAGGCAGTGAGAGCTGGCAGGGGGCAGAAGAAAGTGGGGCTGGTCAGTTATACACCTTGAAGGGTTTCTGCTGCCAGGGATAGTCCCAGTGAGTCAAAGGAGACCTCAGGTTAGTGGGTAAAGAAGGTGGAGAAGGAGGCTGTCACTCGGCATCTCCCTGTGAGGTCTCACCGTGGAGCTGCCTTCGAAGGCAGACACGGCTACCCTGGGGTTAGCCCAGGTAGGAACCTGGGAAGGGGCAAGAGCACAGAGATGCTCAGCTCAGTCCCACCTGGCAGAAAAGCATGTGTTTCACATAATATGTTTGGGAAAATGTTAGAAGAAGACGAATGAGATTGAGACAGACTAATGGGAGGACAGAAAGAACTGAGTCTGGGGACATGAACCATAGAAAGAGGTAACAATTAGAACTGAATTTACCATCTTTCTAAATGAAAAAAAAAAATTTTAATTTGTTTTTATTTGAAAGGCAGAGAGATAGAGCCAGACTAACAGGGATATTCCATCCACTGGTTCACTCCTCATATGGCCTGCAACACGCAGGGATGAAACAGGCTGAAGCCAGAAGCCCAGAACTCGGTCTGAGTCTACAGCAGGGGTGGCAGGGACCCGGGTGCTGGAACCAAGGCCAGCTGTGGGGGACCAGTATCCTATATAGGAACCTATAATGGTTCAAGTCCTGGCTGCTCTGCTTCCAGTTAAATTTCCTACTAATGTACCTGGGAAAACAGAGAAGATGGCCCAAGTACTTCGACCCCTCCCCATGTGGGAGACCAGGATGGAGTTCCTGACTCCTGTCTTTGGCCTTACCCAGCCCCAGCTGGTATAGCAGTTGGGAAATGAACCAGCAAATGGAAGATTTCTCTCTCTGTTACTCTGCCTTTCAAATAAATATTGTAAAAAGTAAAGTACTGGATCCATCACGTACTGCCTCCCAAGGTGTTGCATTAGCAGGAAGCTGGAATTGGAAGCAGAGCCAGCACTTGAAGCCAGGCACTGTTATGGGATGTGGGCATGTTAAGCAGTGTCTTTACCTGCTATGCTAAACTCCTGTCCCCAGTACAGGAAGTTTTCACAAAGAGAATCCCCTCTTGTAATTATCCTTTGTGTCCCAGATCAAGAAACAGAACATTAGCAGCTCTACAAAAGTCTCCCTCACAATTAAAACACCCATCCCTCAGATATTCACTAGTTGGCTTCTAAATAATAGGTTGGTGTTGCCTGTTTGAACTTCATATAAATATGATCATAAGGTATATATAACCTTCTATGTCTGGCTGCTTTTGCTAAATGTTGTTTGTGAGATTCATTGCATGTTGCAAAACTTTTTCTTTTAAAGAAAAAAAATTTTTACATTTTATTTGAAAAGCAGAGAGAAACAAAGATCTTCTATCCACTGGTTCACTCCTCAAATGCCTGCAACAGCCTGAGCTGGGCCAGGCTGAAACCAGAAGCCAGGAACTCCAAGTCTCCCACATGGGTGACAGGAACCCAAGTACTTGAGCCATCATCTGCTGTCTCCCAGGGTATACAATAGCAAGAAACTGGACTGGAAGCAGAGTAGCCAGGACTCAAACCAGAAACTCCAATACGGGATATAGATATGCCCACTTAGTGACTTACCTACTGCACAACATCCCCACCCCACAAAATGTTATTATTGCTGTATACATTTCCATCACAGCAATATAACAATTACTCATTCTACTGTTGGACATTTGGGTTGTTTCCATTTGTGACTTATGAATATAAATAGTACTGCCATGAACCTACTGTCATCTTTTTCTTTCTTTTTTTTTTTTTTTAAGATTTATTTACTTGAAAGTCAGTTACACACAGAGAGAAGGAGAGGCAGAGAGAGAGAGGTCTTCCATCTGCTGGTTCACTCCCCAGTTGGCCTCAATGACTGGAGCTGCGCTGATCCGAAGCCAGGAGCCAGGAGCTTCTTCTGGGGCTCCCATGCGGGTGCAGGGGCCCAAGGCCTTGGGCCATCTTCCATTGCTTTCCCAGGCCATAGCAGAGAGCTGGGTTGGAAGTGGAGCAGCCAAGACTCAAACTGGTGCCCATATGGGATGCCAGCACTGCAGGCAGCGGCTTTACCCGCTATGCCACAGCGCTGGCCCCACCTACTGTCATCTTGTAGTCATGTGTGTACACACTAGGTATTACATAGGAGTAAAATTGCTGAGTCATTGGATAGACATCTGCTCGGCTTTTACAGATACTACTAACTAATTTTATGCAATGGTTAAGCTAATTCAAACTCCTGTGGCACTATGGGTATATTCTAGCTGTTCTAGATCCTGGAGAACCTTTTACTCCAAAATGTTGTAGTAGCAGAGATCTTCTAGAAAATCCTTTACAAGGTTTTCTGAGGTAGTTTTTTGCTCATGCAGATCATATGGAGTTTTGCCAGTACCAGGTCATGCAACTCTGTATCTAAGGGCTAGGTGTAGCTATAAAGCTGGCTCGCTCTTTCTCTTAGCTTACTTTGCTGGGAAAGTATTTAGGTGGAACTCTAGGGACTTGATCTAAGACTAGTCATTTTTAGGGGTGCTGAGATTGGACAAATGTGTTGGCTGTGAGAGAGCAGTATCTTATCAATGTAGGTCCTTGATTTCTGTACTCTTTTTTTTTAATTATTTATTTGAAAGTGAGAGAAGGAGAAACAGAGATCTTCCGTCCACTAGTTCACTCCCCAAATGGCCACAACAGGAGCCAGGAGCTTCTTCTGGGTCTCCCACGTGGATGCAAGGGCCCAAGCACTTGGGTCGTCCTCTGCTGCCTTTCCCAGGCCATCAGCAGGGAGCTGGGTTGGAAGTGGAGCAGCCGGGACTCCAACTAGTGTCACATGGGATGCCAGTGGCTTCACAGGTGGTGGCTTTTACTTAGTAAGCCACAAAACCGGCCCCTTCCATACTCTGTTGTACTAAACAATACGTGCTACAAAAATCCTCTCCCATCACAAGTGAGAGAAGAAACTCAATTCAGCTTCACTGTACTTTGAGGCTTTTACTTTGCCTTTCCCAGTAGTTGCCTCATCATTTGCTGTGTCTAAAGGGATGAGAGTAGTCAGGATCAGCACGTAGGATGGAAGTAAGCAACCCAAAAGGGGACTGTGGAGAAGCCAGAGGGAGGCAGGGGTGGGAATTGGTGCCAGGAGAGCTCGGGGGAGGAGAAAGGGAGGCTGAAAAGAGCAGGTGGGTGGAGCCCTAGTGGATGCAGGGAGCAGGCTTAGTAAGCCTTTCTAGGAAGGGTGTTTCTCATGTGCAGAAGGACTTCCTGCCTTTGTCCCAGTTGTCTCTTCCTGGCTTGCACGAGAAGTAAATGTTGCTGGATCCTAAACTCTGGTGGGCCGGAAAGAGAGGCTTGGAGTCTGGGACTGGAACTCCTGGTTCTCTTGGAGGGCCTCCTTTTTCCAAGGAGGAAGCAGCAGTGACCCAGCTGTTGCCAGCTGCAGTGGAAATTCTGAGCTCAGAGTCTCAGGCTGCTAGACCACAGCCAGCTCCACCCTGGGGCCTTGACAGGGAGAGCAAGAGCATGTGTGTCCTCTGGCCTACAGTCAGGCTCCTCCTAGTCCCACCCCTTGCTGAAATTTGGGAAAGAATCCAAGTATGCAGCCCAGAGGGCTAGGATTGACACATCCATCTCCACCCCACCTCCCACCCCTACTTCTAATGTGTTCTTTGCCCAGCCTCCAGGGCATTGCTTGGCTTATTCTGTCTAATCTTTTGGGTCACAGAAGCTCCACTAAAAAAGTCAGGGAGAGGCCGCCAAGGAGTAAAAACAAATAAATCAATCATTGTAAGTTCTTTAGGGATGAGAGGAGAGGTGGAAAAAAAAAAGTGCTTGTTTTGGGTGCTGGGCTCCAGTGCAGTGCCTGCCAACTGTTTTCGGTTAGCTCTTGTGCTGCTGATCCGTTGGTGATTTCTTTTCTGTCTCTTTAATATTTTTGTCCTCCTAGAGTGGCATGTGCAGGCTTTTTTCTAGGAACACCTCCAGTGTAATTCCTGGTCTGTGATACCCCACTTTTCAAGATTTTGGAGTCCCACATGACTCTGCTGCCAATGTAGACTTCAAAAAATTGAAAAACATGACTCTCATATGAATATAGAATGAGCACATGTCAAGGATTTACTTAACTCATTAAGGAGGGAATCGCAGGCTGGTAAAGTGGATTCAGAGGGAATTTGTGGAGCTCAGTATTTATAACACTGAAGAAAGACTGTTGGAATAAGATTGTGAGGTTAGGAGCCGGCACTGTGGCGTAGTGGGCTGAGCCTCTACCTGCAGTGCCGGTATCCCATATGGCCTCCGGTTCTAGCCTAGGCTACTCCTCTTCTGATCCCGCTCTCTGCTGTTGCCTGGGAAAGAAGGTGGCCCAAGTGCAAGTGCTTGGGCCCCTGCACCCGCGGGAGAGACCCAGAGGAAGTGCCTAGCTTCAGAGCAGCGCCAGTTCCAGCCGTTGCTGCCATCTGGGGAGTGGACCAGCGGGTGGAAGACCTCATTCTCTGTTTCTCCGTCTCTCTGTCTATAACTCTATGTCTCAAATAAAAATCTAAAAAAAGAAAAAGAAAAACAAACCTGAACTTTATAAAAAGAAAAAAAAATTGTGAAGTTAGATATAAAAGTAGTCTGTATCCTTTGGAATAATAAAACCAGTAACCTCTGGGTTATCGTTTGTGCTGGAAAGGCTTTATTTGCATTTTTACTGGACAAAAGTCTGCAAGTTAACCTATCTTTACAAATCTGGGCCCTAATAAGCAGTAAATAATCCAGCCAAGAAACAGCCTCCTAGATAATGAAATATTCCTAGGGCCCTCATAGCAGATAGAGCCGCCGCCTGCACTTGCCAGCTTCCCATATGGGTGCCAATTCGAGTCCTGGCTGTTCCACGTCCAATCTAGCTCTCTGCTGTGACATAGGAAAGCAGTAGAAGATGGCCCAAGTCCTTGGGCCCCTGAACACGCACGGGAGACCCAGATGAGGCTCCTGGCTCCTGGCTTTGGATTGGCCCAGCTCCTGCCATTGTGGCCATGTGGGGAGTAAACCAGTGGGTGGAAGACCAACCACTCTCTATTTCTGCCTCTCTGTAACTCAGCCTTTCAAATAAATAAATCTTTAAAAAAATTTCCTACGGCCAGCGCTGTGGCTCACTTGGTTAATCTTCTGCCTGTGGTGCTGGCATCCCATATGGGCACTGAGTTCTAGTCCCAGTTGCTCCTCTTCCAGTCCAGCTCTCTGCTGTGGCCCAGGAAGGCAGTGGAGGATGGCCCAAGTGCTTGGGCACTGCACCCCATGGGAGACTAGGAGGAAGCACCTGGCTCCTGGCTTCGGATTGGCGTAGCTCCGGCTGTAGCGGCCATTTTGGGGATGAGCCAACAGAAGGAAGACCTTTCTCTCTGTCTCTCTCTCTCTCACTAACTGTCAAATAAAAAAAAAATTTTTTTTTTTGACAGGCAGAGTGGACAGTGAGACAGAGACAGAGAGAAAGGTCTTCCCTTGCCGTTGGTTCACCCTCCAATGGCCACCGCAGCCGTTGTACTGCGGCTGGCGCACCGTGCTGATCTGATGGCAGAAGCCAGGTACTTATCCTGGTCTCCCATGGGGTGCAGGGCCCAAGGACTTGGGCCATCCTCCACTGCACTCCCTGGCCATAGCAGAGAGCTGGCCTGGAAGAGGGGCAACCAGGACAGAATCCGGTGCCCCGACTGGGACTAGAACCCGGTGTGCCGGCGCTACAAGGTGGAGGATTAGCCTAGTGAGCTGTGGCGCCGGCCTTGTCAAATAATTTTTTTTTTTTTTTGACAGGCAGAGTGGATAGTGAGAGAGACAGAGAGAAAGGTCTTCCTTTTGCCGTTGGTTCATCCTCCAATGGCCGCCATGGCTGGCGCGCTGCGGCGGGTGCACCACGCTGATCCGAAGGCAGGAGTCAGGTGCTTATACTGGTCTCCCATGGGGTGCAGGGCCCAAACACTTGGGCCATCCTCCACTGCCTTCCCGGGCCACAGCAGAGAGCTGGCCTGGAAGAGGGGCAACCGGGACAGAATCCGGCGCCCTGACCAGGACTAGAACCCGGTGTGCCGGTGCCGCTAGGTGGAGGATTAGCCTATTGAGCCATGGCGCCGGCCCTTGTCAAATAAATTTTTTAAAGAATTCCTGAAAAGGGCCTTTTAGAGAATGTTCCAGAGTGACATTTTGAACGAATGTCCAGGGGACGGTGCTGTGGTGTAGAAGGTTAAGCCTCCTCCTGCAGCACCAGCATCCCATATGGGCACCATTCAAGTCCAGCTGTTCCACTTCCGATCCAGTTCCCTACTAATGTGCCTGGGAAAGTAGTAGAAGATGACCCACGTGCTTGGGTCCTTGTACCCACAAAGGAGACCCAGAAGAAGCTCTTGGCTTCAGCTTGGTCCCAGGCGTTGTGGCCATTTGGGAAATGAACCAGCAGGTGGAAAATCTTGCCCTCTTGGTCTCTCTCCCTCTGTCTCTCTGCCTTTCAAATAAAGAAATTTTTTTAAGTCTATGCAGTTTTCCTGCCTTTTGCCTTATCGTCAAGTTTTAGATGATCTTTTCTCATCTCTTCTTTTCTTTTGTTTCACTTGAGAAGCAGAGAAAGGGAGACAGACTCACCCCTCCCCATATGCTTGTTCACTCCCCAGATGCCTGCAACTTCCGTGACTGAGCCAGGAATGCAGTCACGTCTCCCATGAGGTTGGGAGGAATCCAGTTATTTGAGCCATCACCCTACCTCCCAGGGTACGCATTAGCAAGAAGCTGGAGTCAGGAGCCAAAGCTGGCACTGAACCCAGGCACTCTGCTGTGGGACACAGGTATCCTAACTGCTGGCTAAGCTAAACACTCACCCCAAGATAGCTTTCTGAATGCTTACCCCTGGTCCTGTTTCCTCTCTCTCTTAACACACTCAAATATTGACAATGAGAAATTGAAGTCTTAGAATAAGGCAGAAGAGAGAACTATTTGCAATAAAGTTGAAGTCCAGTAAATATAACAACAATAACAACAGTTAAGATTTTATAAGTGCTTACCATATAGTATGTATTAATGCTTTATATTCATTAACTCATTTCATAGTCTCAACAATCTTATCTCCATTTCATAGACAATAAAACTGAGACACAGAAAGTTTAAATATCTTATTCAAAATCACACATAACCAACTTCCTGCTAACATGCCTGGGAAAATTCCAGATGATGGCCAAAAGTGCTTGGGTTCCTGCCATCCACATGGGAGACCTGGCTGGAGTTTCTGGCTCCTAGCTTTGACCTGGCCCAGCCATTGCGACCATTTGAGAAGATTCTCATTCTCTCTTAATCCTTGTTTCTCTCTCTCTCCATATATATATGGAGAGAGATTCTATATATATACACACACTTCTGTGTGTCTTCTTTTCAAATAAATAGATCTTTAAAAAGAATCACATAGCTAGAAAGTGGCAGAACCAGGATTTGAACCAAAGCAGTTGGGCTCAGGTGACCTTCACCTAGGGGTCAGTAGAAGGATGGGGGGAGAGGTCTGCTGTTTTCCATGGTAGGAATGGTATCTGTGCAGGGAAGATCAGTAATACCAAAAGTTGTTGCTGGAGCTCTGCCCTCCCCTCTGCTGTGTGGACATTGCCAAGCTTCTTTCCCAAAAGGACTCTCTCTAACGTGTCTGAGTCTTGGGGAAGAGGAGAGAACAGTGTTGGTGTTATAAGGACTGCAGTCACGTATTTCCTTATAGGCCCCTTTAGGGAATAGGTTTCCACTAAGGCTACTGTTTGTTGTTCATTTCCTTTTTGTTTTTATTAAGATTTGAGTAGGAAAAGTATCATGACGCGGACCAAGAAAGGGCCTAGATTCATCCAGCTGTCTCGATCCCTGTCCCCAGAGTATCACTTTGCATTCTCCTCTACCTTAGATATGGCAAGATTGTCTCCACTAAGGCCATACTGGACAAGACCACAAACAAGTGCAAAGGTGAGAAAGTCACTCTCCTGCCGGTGGAGGCGGCAGTGAGGGACCGTCCCCTGCTTCTGCCCTTCACCCCTGAGTCCTGAGCATGTGGTGCCAGGGAGGAGCCTGTGATTTTCAGGCTTCAACATCAGTAGATGTTTAGATTCCTTGGAGCCCAGATAGCTAGAGCTGAACCGGGGTCGTGTCCCTGAGGTGTCCCCTGAACCTCGTGCACAGGGGTCATCGGTGGTGGCTTTGCTGGGGGAGGGGATGACTTGGCGGATCTCCTCTGAGGATGAGTAGTTCCCTGGGTTTTGAGCAGCTCTTGGTGGTGCTGGAAAAACGCAGGAGGAGAAAGGGCCGTAGGTTGGGGTGGGAGGGGCTTCTCCAGCAGGTGTCTGTCTGCCCTGCATGCCGGCATTTCTGGGGTGTGTCTAGAAAAGAGGGAAGGGGGTTCTTTTTGAGGTGTGGGGATGGGCTGTAGGTTACTTGAAGAGCCTAGTTCCTGATGCCTCATACTTCTCCAGGTGGGGGGAGAAGGGCAGGGTCCACAGGGACCTCATTACCCCTGGCATCGTTAGCCACAAACAGATAAGGTCTCTGGTTTTGAGGCACGTATGGATAAGCACCCGAAAACTCTTCATCTCTCTCTCTCCCTCCCACTTCTGCTTCATGGATCATAACTCTGCCTCTGTCTCCTGAAAGGCCTGGGCTTCCTGCCCCTCTCACCTCCCATCTCCCAGTGATGCTGTTTCCCTGTTCCAGGCTATGGCTTTGTGGATTTTGACAGCCCCTCGGCTGCCCAGAAGGCTGTCACGGCCCTGAGAGCCAGTGGCGTGCAGGCACAGATGGCAAAGGTAAGGTGTGGTCCCCACAGCTGTTTCCCCAAAGGGTTGTGGTGGGCACCAAGGTTCTGGTTCCCTGGCTTCTGGAGTGCTTATGAACCGTGAAGGTGATGTGATGGGCCGGTGCTGCCGGCTCTGCTTTCTGACTACATCTGGCCAGAGGCCCTGAGCACCCGGGCTGCAGGAGGAAGAATGCACTCCAAGTCCTTCGTATCAGGTGAAGTTGGCAAGCAGAAAGGCCGGGCCCTGCTGGGGCTCCTGCCACCGCCCTGGCCCCACCCTGACCCCACTTGCCTCCGGGAGCCTGGCAGTTTCGCAACGTTCTCTGAAGAAGCCAGTTGTGCAACTCCGAAGTGCAGAACAATGTTCTCCACCTCCGGATCCTGTCCCTGTCCAGCAGGGTGGTGGTTTGGGGAGGGGCGGGAAGCACAACAAGAGAGGAAGCTGTCCCTGCTCGGCTCTGGCTTGTCATCTGATCACTGGACACGGAGAGCTTTTCTATCACTTCTCCTATGTGGAGTCGAGCCCTGCCTGGCTGTCTGAGGCAGGCGTGAACACGCTGTGCTTCTGCCTTTGCTGAAATGGTTAAAGGAAAAGGAAATCCTGAAAGGAGAGACAGATGGGGTGTTAAGATTGCTGGGGACCCACTGTCAAGGGCAGAGGGATGACTGAATTTTTTTTAAGATCTTATTTATTTGAAAGGCAAAGTGATGCAGAAGAAGAAACGGATCTTCCATCTGCTTGTTCACTCCCCAAATGGCTGCCATGGTGGAGACTGGTCCAGGCCGAAGCCAGGAGCCTGGAACTTGGTCTGGGTCTCCCGTGTGGGTCGCAGGGGCCCAAACACTACAGCCATCATCATCTGCCTCCTGGGAACATTAGCAGGGAGCTGGATCAGAAGTGGAGCAGCTGGGACTTGAAGTGGTGCTCAAGGGATACCAGCATCACAGACAGTGGCTTAACCTGCCATGCCACCGTGCCGGCCCAACAAATGATTCAAAGTACAGCTGTCAGGAGATTGCCGCTTTGTGTGTCCTACCTGCCTGGAGGTGCTCTCCCACCTCTTTCTGGAGGAGAGCCCTCTGACAAAAGCTCAAAAGTTTAGGGGTGTTCACTGTGGTACTGCTTGGGATAGCCACAGCCTGTATCAGCGTGCCAGTTCAAGTCCTGGCTCCTTCCTTCCCATTCAGCTTCCTGCTAATGCACCTGGGAGACAGCAGATGATAGCTCAGGTACTTGGACTCCTGCTACCCATGTGGAAGACCCAGATGAGGCTCCTGGCTTCAGCCTGGCCCAGCTCTGGCAGTTGCAGCCATTTGGGGAATGAACCAGCAGATGCAAGATCTCTGTCTTTCTCCCTTTCTCTCTCACCCTGCCTTTTGCAGGGGTGCGAGGAGAGGGGAGTGGGGTGGGAGACTCTGAAGTTTAGGAGGCTTCAAGGTTCCTAGGAGATTAGAGCTTTCTGAGCTCTGTGGTGACCCAGTGAACTACACATCTGGCCCTGTCTGGCCCCTTCCCCTCTTCCTGCTTTCCCTCTCAGGGAATGAGCAGGCATTCCTGTTCAGAGAATTCTGCCTCGGCCGGCCGGAAGAGGGGGAGGGGGATTACTCAAAACAATCCAGCCATGGAGCAAGGCAGTCCCAGGGAATCAGCCTCTGGAGCAGGCTGTTGGGGGAGGGTGGCTGCTCTGCCTCTTCCTTAAAGAGCCCAGCACCGCTGATGACTTACAGTGCGCTTGGATGATATTGGAAATATTAAATATGCTGTTTTCCTCCTGGACAATATCCAACCCATGGTAGTGCAACTGGGTGTTACAAAGTCAGGATTCCCTTGGTTTCTGCAGAACTCTTCCTACTGTCTCTTTACTGAAATGTTATTTGGTGGACGAGGGTTAAGGGTGAGGCAGGGGTAAGACATGAGCCTCATTTCCTCACCTTTATTTCTATTTCTATAGCAACAGGAGCAGGACCCCACCAATTTATACATCTCAAACCTGCCACTGTCCATGGATGAGCAGGAGCTGGAGGGGATGCTGAAGCCCTTCGGCCAGGTCATCTCTACCCGGATCCTGCGAGACACCAGCGGGACCAGCAGAGGGGTCGGCTTTGCAAGGTGAGGGGTGGCAACCACGGGAGATGACAAGGTTAATAAGAATGTCAGGATGTCACCAAAAATATCTCTGTCTCTCTCTTTCTCTCCTGACCTCTCTCTGTCTGTCTCTCTCTTACGCTCTCATTCTCCCTCTTTTCCTTCTTTGCCCCTTCACTCCAGTCTGTCAGGTTTCCTGCAATAAACTCTTTCCCTTAAAAAAAAAAATCTCTGCCTCCTCAAACTATTGGTCAAAAATACTTGAATAAATCAAAAGTTCATTTTATTATAAGTCACAAGACTCGAAAACCCATTAGTCCCCAGATCCTTATCTCTTCCCCACTGTTTCCTGCTCCTCTAGTCTGTGTTTCTTTGATCTAGACCTAACCAGAATAAAATAATTCTCTATATTAGTACAGCTTACTGAATATCTTGTTGGTATATTATCTTCGTTTCATCTTCACAACAAACAACCCAGTGAGCTAAATATTCTACATTTCATCTTTTTTTATTTTATTTTTTTTAGATTTTATTTATTTATTTGAGAGATAGAACTACAGTGAGAGGGAGAGACAGAGAAAGGTCTTCCTTCTGCTGGTTCACTCCTCAAATGGCCGCAACGGCCAGAGCTGTGCCAATCTGAAGCCAGGAGCCAGGAGCTTCTTCAGGTCTCCCATGTGGGTGCAGGGGCCCAAGCACTTGGGCCATCCTCTGCTGCTTTCCCAGGCCATAGCAGAGAGCTGGATTGGAAGAGGAGCAGCTGGGACCAGAACTGGTGCCCATATGGGATGCCAGTGCCACAAGCAGAGGACCAACACACTGTGCCATGGCACCAGCTCCTACATTTCATCTTGTCTGTGACAAGTGCTAGACTCAACACAGCAGTTCCCAGTTTTTCATCTGCACTGCCCAGACAGAAGAGTTGGATGGCAAGTGTGTGGTCATTGGCAGAGTGAAAGGGGGCGTGAGTATTGTGGAAGCCGTGGAGCACTTTGGGTCTGAGAATGACAAGGCCAGCTAGAAGATGACTATTGCCAACTGTGGGCCCCTCAGATCATCTGGTTTCTGTTTTATCTTAACCACCAGCTCAGGAGAGCACCCCTCCCTCCCATCTGCTCCTGATATCCTGCAGTTCTTTGGGTTTTCCATGGTTTCCTTACTCGGTTCCTCCAAGTCTGGCTGGGTTGCAGAGTTAAAGTCATGATCATGAAATAAAAACTAAAGAACATAAATAAATATTCTCCACTTTATAGATGAAGAAAGTGAATTTCCCAGAGTGAAGTGATTTGCCCAAGGTCTCCCAGGGACAGCGGGTACAGCATTGCCCTAATACTGCCGGCATCAAGATGAGCAGGCTGAAGCAGAAGCCTTGGTCTACCTTTGCGATCTGTTGGGAGACCGACATCTTAGAACCAGCTCTGCCACTAACTGGCCTGTGGTATCATACATGTGGGAACCTTTGTGGACCTGAGAAATGGACACTGACTTAGATAAGTGCTTCCTCTCAGGTGTTCCTGGGGCCGCAGAGTGCTCCAGGGCTCCCTCTGCTGGGCGCTGGTGTCACTGGTAGGGCGTCAGCCGCTTAAGAAAGTTTCTACTTTTATTTATCTTAAGGTTTTGTACAAAAAGAGGTTCTGTTTTGTTCATTTTTGAGTTTGAAAACTAGTGGACTAAGGTTCATTTTCGTTCCATAGTATCTTGTCTGGTTCCTGAGTGCTCCCTCACTGTTGCAGACCTTGGCAAAAAGCTCCTTTTTCCTAGTAGGCTCCATCTTAGTGACACCACCTGCTGGCATTCCCAGGAATAACCAAAGGGGACTTCCCGGGCTTGGGGCCTGTAAACTCTGCTCTCAGCCTCTTAAAGCACAGGTCCTCAGCCTCTCTCAATTCATGGGACCCTTAGTTGTCTTAATACCTTTTCTATCTAGAACAGAAGAAATGCTGAACAGTTCAATTTATTAAATAATCAAAATATCTAAGCAACTGTTTAAGTGTTCAGCATCTTCATAGCCACTTGAAAAAATTATACATATATTTAAAGAGGAAATGCTTCAACCTTAAGTAACTGCACTTCTAAAACAGATACACAACTTCTTAAACCTTGGTATCAGAATGGGCACTCATACCTCATTTCTCATTGCACAGTGGTTACCTTATAGTCCTTGGGCCGATGCCACCCACATAGGAGACCTAGAAGAAGGTCTTGGCTTCAACCTGGCCCAGCCTTGGCTATTGCAGCCATCTGGGGAGTGAACCAGCAGATGGAAGATCTTTCTTTTTTTCTTTCTTTTTTTAAAGATTTATTTATTTACTGGAAAGACAGAGTTATGCAGAGAAAGAGAGAGGTCTTCCATCCGCTGGTTCACTCCCCAGTGGCTGCAACTGCCGGAGCTGTGCCAGGCCGAAGCTGTGCCAGTCCGAAGCCAGGATTTCTTCTGGGTCTCCCACGTGGTGCAGCACCCCTGGGGCCGGCACTGTGGTGTATTGGGTAAAGCTGCCACCTGCAGTGCTGGCATCCCATATGGGCACCGGTAAAGTCCCGGCTGCTCCACTTCTGATCCAGCTCTCTGCTATGGCCTGGGAAAGCAGTAGAAGATGACCCAAATCCTTGGGCCCCTGCACCCACGTGGGAGACCCAGAAGAAGCTCCTGGCTTTTGATCGGCGCAGCTCCAGTCATTGCAGCCAATGGGGGAGTGAACCAGCAGATAGAACACCTCTCTCTCTCTCTCTCTCTGCCTCTGCCTCTGCCTCTGCCTCTCCTTCTCTCTCTGTGTAACTCTGACTTTCAAATAAATCTTAAAAAAAAAAAAAAAAAAAAAGTACCCACATGGGATCCTGACATTGCACGGGGCAGCTTTAGCCACTATGCCACAGCATCGGCTGCAGTAGATCTTTCTCTGTCTCTCTTTGTCTGTCTCTCCCTCTCTGTAACTTGACTTTCAAATAGATAAGTAATTTTTTTCAAGATTCATATATTTATTTATTTAAAAGGAGGGATTGCACAGGGAGAGGGAGATTCAGAGAGGGGTCTTCCATCTACTCGTTACTCCTAAGATGGCCGCAACAGACTGGGGCTCTGGCAGGCTGAAACCAGGAGCCAGGAGCTTCTTCCAGATCTTCCAAGTGGGTGGTAGGGGTCTAAGCACTTGGACTATCTTCCATTACTCTTCCCATGTAACTGGGAGCTTGATCAGAAGTGGAGCAACTGGGACTCAGCTAGTGCCCATATGGGATTCTGGTGTTGCAGGCAGCAGCTCTACCCACCACAATACCATGCTGGCCCCTACATAAATCTTTAAGAAACAAAAATAAGGGGCCAGTGCTGTGGCATAGTGGGTAAAGCTGTTGTCTGCAGTGCTGACATCCCATATGGGTGCCGTTTCGAGTCCCAGCTGCTCCACTTCCATTCCAGCTCTCTGCTGTGGCCTGGGAAAGCAATAGAAGATGGCCCAAGTCCTTGGGCCCCTGCACCCACGTGGGAGACCTGGAAGAAGCTCCTGGCTTCTGACTTCGGATCAGCGCAGCTCTGGCTGATTCAGCCATTTGGGGAGTGAACCAGTAGATGGAAGATCTCTCTCTCTCTCTCCCTCTGCCTCTGCCTCTGCCTCTACGTAACTCTTTCAAATAAATAAATCTTTAAAAAAAATAAGTGAACTAATATTTGAGTTAGTAGTCCCTGTGATATGCAGATGTTGCTGGTTTTTTTTTTAGTTTATCACAATAACCCAGGATGCCTGAGATCTGTTACTTTGAAAGTTTTGAAAAACTGAAACCTCTTGCATGTTTCTGTATTATCTACAGATTTTCTTCGTGCATTTAGATTCTCACAAAATATAATTTTCAGCAACTTATAAACATTGCCATTTTAAATCAAAATGTTATAGCATTTAAAATACATCCAAATGAGGGGCCAGCACTTCGCCCTAGCTGGTAAAGCCGCGGCCTGCAGTACCAGCATCCCATATGGCCACTGGTTCGAGTCCCGGCTGCTTCTCTTCCAATCCAGCTCTCTGCCATGGCCTGGGAAAGCAGTAGAAGATGGCCCAAGTCCTTGGGCCCCTGCACCCATGTGGGAGACCCGGAGGAAGCTCCTGACTCTTGACTTCTGATTGATGCAGCTCCTGCCGTTGTAGCCAGCTGGGAGTGAGCCAGCGAATGGAAGACCTCTCGACCTCTCTGCCTTCTGCCTCTCTTTCTCTCTCTCTGTAACTCTGACTTTCAAATAAATAAATAAATCCAAGTGAGATCTAAAAATAGTAATTTGACATACAAAATCAAACTTTTAAGAAGGGGCAGGCAGCTCCATGCTTCCAGGCCTGCATGTTCCCTCCACGTGGCAGGCTTCTCTGCTGGGTATGAATCCAGATTTCCCCTTCTTTCTTGGATAGGGCCCTCACTCCCCTGTGCATTTCTCTCACTGAATAAAAAGCTTAAAAACTTAAATTACAAAAGGGGGGGCAGGCATTTGGCCCTAGCAGTTAAAACGCCTGTGTCTCGTGTTGGAGTATCTGGCTCCGAGGGCTTTCTCTGCTCCCAGTCCCAGCTTTCTGCTAATTCAGATCCCAGGATGCAGTGATGGTGGCTCAAGTGGTTTGGTTCCAGCCATCCATGTGGGAGGTCTGGGACTGAGTTTCCAGCTCCTGGCTTTGGCCTGTCCCTGCTATGGCTGTTACTGGTATTGGGGGAATGAACCAGTGAGTGAGAGATCTTTGTCTCTCTCTCTCTCTCAATCTCTCTCAATCTCCCTCCCTCCCTCCCTTTCTCCTTTCCTCCCTCTCTCTCTCTGCCTTTCAATCAATAATAAATAAATCAATAAATTAAATTAAATATTAAAATCAATAATAATAATAATAAATAAGGGCTATTTCTTTTTTAGTACTCGTAGTCTCATCACTCTTAGAGTGTTCCTTTTTTCTCCTCTAAAGTAAAACATGTCTTACAGTGGGAAGTCTTTTTATGGATCATCCTGTCATACTTCTATCCAACAAAAACATATGCATAAATTTAGAAGTTCCCCTGTTGCCCTTAGGACATGTGTAATAACTTAATCTGTGAGAGAATTATCTTTTTAAAAAAAGATTTACTTATTTGATTTTTTTTTTAATTTTTTATTTTATTTATTTTTTGACAGGCAGAGTGGACAGTGAGAGAGAGAGACAGAGAGAGAAAGGTCTTCCTTTGCCGTTGGTTCACCCTCCAATGGCCGCCGCTGCAGCCGGCGCACCGTGCTGATCCGATGGCAGGAGCCAGGATCCAGGTGCTTTTCCTGGTCTCCCATGGGGTGCAGGGCCCAAGCACCTGGGCCATCCTCCACTGCACTCCCTGGCCATAGCAGAGAGCTGGCCTGGAAGAGGGGCAACCGGGACAGAATCCGGCGCCCCAACCGGGACTAGAACCCGGTGTGCCGGCGCCGCAAGGTGGAGGATTAGCCTATTGAGCCACGGCGCCGGCTAAGATTTACTTATTTGAAAGAGTTATACAAAGAGAGAGAGATCTTCCATCTGCTGGCCCACTCCCCAGGTGGCCACAATGGCTGGAGCTGTGCTGATCTGGAGCCAGGAGCCTCTCCCGGGTCTCCACATGGGTACAGGGGCCCAAGGACTTGGGCCATGTTCCACTGCTTTTCTAGGCCATAGCAGAGAGCTGGATCAGAAGTGGAGCAGCCGGGACTCGAACCAGTGCCCATATGGGATATCGGCACTGCAGGCAATGGCTTTACCTGCTACACCACAGAGCTGGCCCCCAAAGAATTATCTTTACTGTTGGTAGTCCATGGTTCCCCTGAACAATGTAAATATATTAAGATGTTCATTAAAATTATTTAAAAAAGTGAATTTTAAAGTTGGTGCCGCGGCTCAATAGGCTAATCCTCTGCCTGCGGCGCTGGCACCCCAAGTTCTAGTCCCAGTCGGGGTGCCGGTTCTGTCCCAGTTGCTCCTCTTCCAGTCCAGCTCTCTGCTGTGGCCCAGGAGTGCAGTCCTTGGGCCCTGCACCCGCATGGGAGACTGGGAGAAGCACCTGGCTCCTGGCTTCGGATCAGCGCAGCACGCTGGCCGCAGCGGCCATTGTGGGGTGAACCAACAGAAAATGGAAGACCTTTCTCTCTGTCTCTCTTTCTCATTATCCACTCCACCTGTCAAAAAAAAAAAAGTGAATTTTATTAGAAATGTTTCTCCTATGACAGATAAGTTTTAATTTGTTTAGATTTTCCTAATTAGGTCATGTAGCCATCAGTGAATATTGTTTAGTGCTATAATAAGAGGATTTAATATCAGTTATGGTGGTGATTTTTTGTTTTCCTACTGAGAAACTTTGCTCGCACAAATATGTATATGGGAATGGAAGACTTCTTTCTGAATTATATGCTCAGAAACAAGGTGATCTGATATCAAAAATGATTTTTTATGTGAAGACTTTGCTAAAGTCTTGCAACTTTGATGACAGCAAATACTTGGAAACCATCTGACTGACTTATGAAGGGAGCTGCGGCTCAGGTCTCAGTGCCTGCTGTTGAGATTGCGCGTGGGTGAGGAGAGACTGGGACTGGCATTCAGAGCTATCCCTCAGGCGATGGGTTTGAGGAAGGAGCCTTTCGGGAAGCTGAGGTCCTGAAACTCTCCCTGCCTGCTGTGAGGCGTGGAACTGAGCCCACTGAAGATGCCTGTCTAATGGGCTGTTTTCTCTGAAAGCTTCCATTTGAGGCCTCTCGGTAGTTACCTCCTGTTGAGGTGTGGCTTGTATATATTTATTGCTTATTGGCATAGAAAATAGACCTAGACTTACTTTAAATGCAGAAATAGGTGAAGATACTATACCTTGTGCTATATGGGCCCCTATAGTTTTTAGAACTCTTTTCTGTGCCCTCGTGTGGCCTGTGCAGCACCTTGTGGTAGAGCAGGAGTGGGCGCAGAGGGTTCTGGGTGTCCTGACTCACCGAGCACTGGGTGGACAGCTGCATCTAGATCACATTTCTTCCCCGTCCTCTTTCCCGGTAGTTCCTGCCTGCCCTTCTTCTGCCGCAGTGGACCATGGACTTAGAGCTGAGTGATGATGTCATAACTGATTACACTTTGATAACTGTAGCCAGAGCAGAGAATAAGTACTGACAAATTCTCAGTTTGTGCATTTGTATCAGAGCAAAGGAGCAACTTGCACTTAGAATTTTGTATTAAAAATAAGAGTAATAGGTACTATTTCTTGTATCCTTCCGCATGTCCCAGACCCAGTAGTGGGCCCGTCCATGTCTGCTCTGGGATAGGAGTAGCCTGAGGACCTCCACCCTTCCTATGACAAGCCCCTGCAGGAAACAGTTGAGAGAACCTTTAGTAGACGTGGGGACCCCTCTTCGAGATGCCCTGGACGTGTGTGGCGGACCTCTGGTCACGACTTGGGGGGCATTTGCGGGGCTGGGAAGTGGCGCTTTCTCTCGGAATGTGCAGAGAGCTCCCCTGCAGGAGCCAGAGCCTAACCCCTCTTTGCTCCTCAGGATGGAGTCCACAGAGAAGTGTGAAGCCATCATCACCCACTTCAATGGAAAATATATCAAGACACCCCCTGGAGTACCAGGTGAGGCATCTGGGAGTCAGGCCGAGGGAGCCACAAGCTGTGACTTGTATGAGACGCCTGGAGCAGACTGCGCGAGAACGAGGGGCTGAGCGAGGTGGGCCTCAGCTGCCCTTCTGCCTTCTCTCTTGACAGCCCCGTCTGATCCTTTGCTTTGCAAATTTGCCGATGGCGGCCCAAAGAAACGACAGAACCAAGGAAAATTTGTGCAAAATGGACGGGCCTGGCCAAGGAATGGAGACATGGTAAGAGGACCTCAGAGGGGGCCTGAAGGTGGAATGGAAGAGACTGTGGCGTGACATCTGTGAGCTCAGGTGGCAGACTCCAGAGCTGTGCCTCAGAGGTGCTGGCTCCTCACTGTGCATCTGTCTGATGCAGGGTTTCGCAGCCTGCATAGTCGGCAAAACTCTGCAGCAGCTGTAGTGAGACTTGTCCAGACTTCAGCGGCTGAACAAAATACACCGCAAGTCTTGCATTCTGGCCTGGCTCCTGTTCTCACTCAAGACTCACAATATGAATGCTGTGTTCTTTCTTTATAGGGTGGGATGGCCTTGACCTATGACCCCACCACAGCTCTGCAGAATGGGTAAGGGTGTTATATATCATCAGGCTACCTGAAAATGACCATGACCCGTGTCCAGGCACTCAGGGTGTCATCCTGGTTCGTGGGTACCAGTTGACTAGCAGGAAGTGGCTCTGCCCTTACTTTGCAACTCCTGTCACTCATTACTGATTGACATTCCTTCCTGCAGGTTCTACCCTGCCCCCTACAACATCACCTCCAGCAGGATGCTTGCTCAGGCTGCGCTCCCCCCTTACCTTCCGTCTCCTGGGTCACCCTATCAGGTATGCTTGTACCCAGAGTGGGGCGGGTCTTTCTCTGCCACTGTGTTTCAGGTGAAGGAATGTAAGGCAAGAAACCACTTGGGTTTTTGGTTTTGTTTCCTTGCTACATATTGCACGCAAATAACATGGAAATATAAAGTGCAGTCACTCTGTAGGAGCAGTGTCCACGCTCACATTTATACACACATGGGCCCTCTTACGCCCCTTCCACCACCCCCACAGTAAACCCACGTGAGTTCCCTACTACATGGCATTTTCCATACTTTTCTTTGTACAAATATGCAAGTACACAAATGTATACGGTTTGGGGAGTTGTTCAGTTTAGAAAACTTGGACCGTATGAAATAAATTTTTGTCTCTTTTAACAATGTCTTAGATCAGTGATTCTCAAAATATGGTGCCAGATCAAAGTATTGCATCCCTTGGGAATTTCTAGAGCATAAATTTTGGGACTCTCCAGATCTACTGAATTAGAAACTCAGGATGGGGCAGAGTTACACACACACACACACAGACCTTCCATCCACTGGCTCACTCCCCAAATGGCTACAATGGCCAGGGCTGGGTGAGGCCACAGGAAAGAGCCCAGCGCTCCATCCAGGTCTCCCGTGTGGGTGGCAGCGGCCCAGTACTTGGGCCACCACTTCTGTTTCTCAAGTGCATTAGCAGGGAGATAGATGGACAGCAGAGGAGCTGGAACTCAAACTGGCGCTCTGCTCTGACTCAGGGTGCGGGTGTTCCAGGCAGTGGCTTTTTAACCCACTGACCACAACGTCTGTCCCCCAGGAAACTGTTATTATATCTGACATAACATAGAGGTCTTATTATATATATATATATATATATATATATATATATATATATATATTTTTTTTTTTTTTTTTTTTTTTTTGCCCGGCAGAGTTAGACAGTGAGAGAGAAGACACAGAGAGAAAGGTCTTTTTCCGTTGGTTCACCCCCTAAGTGGCCTCTACGGCCGGCGCGTTGCGCCCATCCAAAGCCAGGAGCCAGGTGCCTACTCCTGGTCTCCCATATGGGTGCAGGGCCCAAGGACCTGGGCCATCCTCCACTGCACTCCCGGGCCACAGCAGAGAGCTGGACTGGAAGAGGAGCAACCGGGACAGAATCCGGCACCCTGACCAGGACTAGAACCCGGGTTGCTGGCGCCGTAGGCAGAGGATTAACCAAGTGAGCCACAGTGCTGGCCCATCTATTATATTTTCTTACTGCATGTAACTAGTTGTCCTAACACCAAATTATTAAGAAATCTATCTTTTCCCTACTGAATTGAAATGCTCAGGTAACCTGTAATACACTTTTTGTGTCTATAGATTTGACTTTTCAGGACATTTCATATGAATGGAATCATACAACACATGGACTTTGGAAAAAAAAAAAAAAAAGGAGGGGAGAGGCTCTGAGGCATAGAAGTTGAGTGAAGCCTCCACCTGCAGTGCCGGCATCCCATATGGGCGCCAGTTTGTGTCCCAGCTGCCCCACTCCCCATCCAGCTCCCTGCTAATGTGCCTGGGAAAGCAATGGAAGGGGGCCCAAGTCCTTGGGTCCCTGCAGCCACCACAGGCAGTGGCTTAACCATTGCACCACTGCCTCAGCCCCACCACGCATGCTCTTTTGTGTTTGATTTCTTTCACTTCGCAAGGTCAGTACTTCATTCATTTTTTTAGCTGAATAATATGCCATTGTGTGAATGTGGTGTGTTTTGTCTATCCATCTATCAGCGGGCCGTCTGAGTTGCCCCCCTTTTTGGCTGCTGTGAACGCTTGTGTACGTGTTTGTGTGGACATAGCCTTTCATGTCACGTGGGTGTGTACCCGGGAGTGGAATCGCTGGGCTACACAGTCTCTATTTTGAATCTCTTGTCAAAGTGGTTCCTGAAGTGGCTGCAGCATTTTTACATCCCCTCAACAGTGTCTTTTTTTTTTTTTTTAAAGACTTTTATTTATTTGAGAGGCAGAGTTACAGAGAGAGAGACAGGTCGGAGCTGCGCTGATCTGAAGCCAGGAGCTTCCTCCTGGTCTCCCATGGGGTGCAGGGCCCAAGCACTTGGGCCATCCTCCACTGCCTTCCCGGGCCATAGCAGAGAGCTGGCCTGGAAGAAGAGCAGCCGGGACTAGAACAGGTGCTCATATGGGATGCCAGCGCTGCAGGCGGAGGATTAACCTGCACCACGGCGTGGCCCCCACCAATAGTGTCATTTTAATGACAGCCTTCCTCATGAGTTTGAAGTGCTATATGCTGTTGTTGGGTTTTTTTTATTTGAGTCTCTTTCATGTTTATTGGACATTTGTGTATCATTCTCGGATGAGTGTTTAAATATTTTGCCCATTTAAAAAGTCGTTTAAGACACAGACAGGAAAGTACACCACCTACCGGTGTGCTCCCCACAGGCCTAACACAGCCAGTGGTGGGCCCAGGACTGGTGCAAGCTGGCAGCTGGGAACTCACTCAGGTCTCCCACATGGATGGCAGGAACCCCCTCACTTGAGCAGGCACCACTGCTTCCAGGGGCTTCATTACCTGGAACCCTGGAGTTAGGAGCTGGAGCCAAGACTGGAACCCATGTATTCTCTGATGTGGAATGTGAGCCTTGTAACCAGTGTCTTTAAAAAAAAAAAAAGATTTAATTATTATTAGGGCCAGCATTGTAGAACAGTGGGTTGAGGCACCACCTGCAAAGCTGGCATCCCATATGAACACTGGTTCAAGTCCCAGCCGCTCCGCTTCCAATCTAGCTCCCTGCTAACGTGCCTGGGAAAGCAGCAGAGTAATGAGCTGGATCAGAAGCAGAGCAGCTGGGACTTGAGCTGGCACTCACCACTGCACAATGCCAGCCCCTTAACCAGTATCTTAACTGCTAGGCTAAACACTCACCTCTTTTGTCCATTTTTCAATGGGGTCACTTAGTTGGAAGAGTTGCCAATATTGTTCTGTTGTTTTTTTTTTTTTTCCTAAAGATTTATTTATTTGAGAGGCAGAGTTAGAGGCAGAGACAGAGAGTGAGATCTTCCATCTGCTGATTCACTCCCCAGATGACCACAATGGCTGGAGCTGGGTTTGATTTGAAGCCAGGAGCTTCCAGATCTCCCACATGGGTGCAGGGGCCCAAGCACTTGGGCCATCTTCTTCTGCTTTCCCAGGCCATAGCATGCCAGCTCCCAAAGGGCTGGATTAGAAGTGGAGCAATTAGGACTTGAACTGGTACCCACATGGGATACTGGCTCTGCAGGTGGCGGCTTTAGCTGTGACGCCACAGTGCCTGCCCCTAAATATTTACTCTTAATGTTTGTATTTTCTGAGGAAAGGATTCCAACTTTTTTGGGCTTTGTAGAACATTACGGGGTCATCGGGCTGAACCGTAGTTTCTAGAGAATTAACATTTCTGTTTGTCTTTGCTTGCATTAGAGAGTGACTCAGACTTCTCCTCTGCAAGTGCCCACCCCATCTTGGATGCACCACCAGTCGTACCTCATGCAGCCTTCAGTGAGTGTTCAGAAGCGGGCAGAAGCAAAAGAGGCGGTGTGATGTAGAGAAAAACAGTGGGCTTTGATGACAGGAGATGTGGGTGTGAGTTCTGGCTCAGTCCCTGTGCAGCCCAACTCTAAAACCTTCAATTCTGTGTGCGTGATTCTGAGGCCAGGGCTCTCCGGCCAGGCGGCAGAGCGCCTGTTCCTGCTCCAGTCTGGGCTGCTGCTCACCTGGCTCGTCTGTCTGCTTCAGAGGTCCTGGTCGCCAGCAGTCAGTGCTTTAGGCGGCTTCCCGGGGTGCTGCCTGCTGACCGCTGGTGCTGTCCTTGCCTCTAGGGCTCGGTCCTGACGCCAGGGATGGATCACCCTGTTTCACTGCCGCCGGCCTCCGTGGTGGGACCTCTGGCCCAGCAACTGGGCCACCTCTCCCTTGGCAGCACAGGCACGGTAAAGTGGCATGTTTTTTCTTTTCGGTTTTTAAAGTATGTTTACCTTTTTGAAAGGCAGAATGACAGGGAGATACAGAGAGATTTTCTATCTGCTAGTTCACTCTCCATATGGTCACAGTGGCCTAAGCTGGACCAAGCCAAAGCCAGGAGCCAGGAACTCCGCCTGAGTTTTTCATATGTGTGGCAAGGGCCCAAATACTTGGGCCATCTGCTGCTGCTCTCCCAGACACATTAGCAGGGAGCTGGATCAGAGGTGGAGCAGCCAGGACTCAAACTGGTGTTCATATGGGATGCCAGCGTCACAGGCAGCAGCTTAACCCACCACACCCCAGGGCCAGCCCAAAGTGGAGATTCTGGTTACTGGGTCCTGCAGGAGAGGGGACATCTGTGATGCCCTTCAGCCTAGATACTTAGGAGTGATGGTGGACTCACTTAAGCATCGTTAGGGCAACACTCAGAACAGGAGATAAACTGATCGCCCAGATGCTGGGAACGCAGCCCCTGCACCCTGCTTGTTAGTTCACAGAACTCACTGATGATGTTTCTGTCCTATGTGAGTTTAAGTGTTCAAATTCATTTCCTGGACGTTCTCACCAAATGCTCGGGAGTTAGAGGAAGAGTGGGTGACGTTCATTCCGTTTCTTGTGTCTGCTGCCTCCTGGCCCACACAGGAGGGCTTCAGGCAGAGCAGGCAGTAGACCCAGGAGAAGCAGGAGGTGCCGGGAAGGAGGGAGAAAGCCCTGCAGCAGGCGTGTCTCTAAGCCACAGTGCGCTTTAGACGGCCTGGCACACCTTTAAGAAGCCAGGGCTCTAGAGGTAGAACACAGGCATCAGGGCTTCGTTTTTTCTTTTCTAAGCTTCCCAGGTGCTTCAAACGTTGCCAAGAGTCCTTGCCCTAAGCCCATCGGTATTTTTCGTTCTAGTACGTGCCCGCGGTGGCGGCTCTGCAGAACGCTTACATCCCCCAGTACGCCCCGGTGCCCTCGTCCAGTGTGTCGGTGGAGGTAAGAGCCTTCGTCGCCTCTCTGGTCTGAGGCTAAGGGAGGTGAACAGAGGCGGGTTCCCCTGCTCAGGGCCTTCCTCTTGCGGGGCACAGAGAGGCTGCCCTGAGCTCTGGGGGGCGGGGCGGTGTGCATGCTGACACAGTGAGTGTGGAGGGGTGGTCCAGGAAGGATGGCTCGGTGGGCGGTGTGAGCTGACTCTTGTTCTTGGGCATGGTACAGGATAGCAGCGGCCAGCAGAGCCAGGTGGCAGTGGATGCCCCCTCTGACCCTGGGGTCTATTCTTTCCAGTTCTCCAAGTAACCGGGTAAGCCCTGTGCATGGGGAGACCGGAGACAGGGCCCCTCTCTCCCCTCCCTGGTTTGTGCCTCCTCTAGGTTCCTGCTCCCTGCCAGGTCAGACAGAAATGAATTTCTCCAGACACAGGTCTGTCGCCCCGCAGAGCGCTAGCCACAGCCACTGTCTTCCGCGGGCCGGGCGCCCCACCCTCTGCACCATCTACTTGGCCATGGGGGTTGGGAGGCCCTCACTTGTGCTGCAGTCTCAGGGTTCAAGACGCATTTTTCCTTCTGCAAAGAAAGCTTTTTGTCCCCTTGTAGCTGCGCTGTGGGTTTTTCCCCTCAAAGAGCTCAGCTGGAGCAGCTCCTCCCCATGAAAAAACCTGTTATTTATTTATTTATTTATTTTTGACAGGCAGAGTAGAGAGAGAGAAAGGTCTTCCTTTTTCCATTGGTTCACCCCCCAAGTGGCCACTACAGCTGGTGTGTTGTGGCCAGCGCGCTGTGCCGATCTGAAGCCAGGAGCCAGGTGCTTTTCCTGGTCTCCCATGCAGGTGCAGGGCCCAAGGACTTGGGTCATCCTCCACTGCACTCCCGGGCCACAGCAGAGAGCTGGCCTGGAAGAGGGGCAACCAGGACAGAATCCGGCATCCCAACCGGGACTAGAACCCAGGGTGCTGGCACCGCAGGCAGAGGATTAGCCTAGTGAGCTGTGGCGCCGGCCGAAAAAACCTGTTTTGTATGTATTGGGATTATTTTTGGAGGCCTCTTAAATGATTTGTCATTGTATCTTTAAGAAAACCCAGAAAGCTGTGGTGCTAGGACGTGGACGAGGGAGTCCCGCTCGCCGTGTGCTGCCCTGGACTTCGTGGATGCATGCGTGTCTGGGGACACGGTGCGGGCTGCTAACGTGCACTCCTGTCCCTGTCCCATGGGCCCTCCTCGCGCGCTGTGCCTCCTCTCTCCTCCAGGTTGGTCATTTTTCTCTCCCATACAGCCGAGTTGCCTCCGCTACCTTTGTTCAGTCTTTAATTTTGTGGGCTTATTTTTTGAATGAAACTTCATGTGGAATTTGGGGGAGCTGGGCAAGGAACGAGGTGACGGAAGCTGCTGCTCCTCCCGGGTGAGGAGTCCATTTGGGCTTCAGGACGTGGACACAGCACCAAGGCTCTTGCACGAGACGAACTGCAGCCTTTGGAAGCCACCTGTGGGCCCGAGGGGCTGAAGACCGTTTCAGGACGGACTCGCCCGGCCTCTGCTGCTTCTCACGCCAGCTGACACCACCTGAGCAAAGGTCTTTCCACACCTGCCTCCCTGCCTCGGGACGTCTCCCGGCCCCCTTCCCTGCGCTCCCTGCGGCACAGCCTCCGTCCACGGGGGATCTGCGGCCGGGGGTGTGTGCTGCTGGCAGCCTGCAGAGCACGGGACAGCAAAGACGTCTCTGGCCCCAGATGTCATCCCTCATGCCAAAGCTGAAAGAGTTTGACCCAGGGTTGTCCCTGCTCTCTGGGGTGGGGACGATCCCCAGCCCAGCTCTGGACACCGCGTGCCTTCACACATCCATGTACCTGGCTTGGAGGGGCAGCCGTGGGATCCTTGATTTCTTAGGCTCTGACCTGTGACCCCGTGCGTCCAGCAGGAGCCGGCCTCAGAAGGCTGTGGCCACTGTGCCTGCACACACCTGGCCGTGGGGGTGGGGAAGGGCGAAGCTCTAGAACCGTGTGTGGACCCCTTCCCTGAGCTTGGGCCCAGGCCATCAGCAAGCATTTTCCTTCTTGTGGAAGGACAACAGGGAGCAGGATGGGAAGTCCGAGCCCGAGTCCCTCCCTCTGGCCGTCCCCTGCGAGGCCCGCGCCCAGGAGGAAGCCGTGGCTTGGCTTGCGGGGAGCAAGGCCCTGCTGCCGTCTTCCCTGGTCGCTGCCTTGCCTGGCGAGAAGAATTCTGCTCCCTTCACTTCCAGGCACGTGCCTGTCTGCCAGGCCTCTGCAAAGTCGAACAGTGGAGGGGGGAAGAGGCGCTGGTGAGGCGCTGGGAGCAAGAGCTGAGCTGGGGCCCAGCCTGCCCCCGCCCCCACCAGGCATCTGCCAGTGCCCCCTGACCCCACCCAGGATGCAAAGGCTGAGATTCTCCTCACAGAAGGGCTTACCCGGGGTGAGGCAGCCCCAAGCTCAGCAACCTTCTAGAAGGATTTGGCTGAGCAGGTGAGCCTTGTTTCTGTCTCCAGCCTCAGTCAAGGAAAGCACAGCGTAGCTGCTTTCTTGTCAATGCCTTCGAGAGACAGAAAACACGCCTGGAACCCTGTCCACGTCTGACGGAGGCTTGCAGGCAGCGTGCTGAGGAGGTGGTGCGTGCGGCCTGCTGCAGCACTGCCACCGCTCCTCTGCCTCCCAGAACCCCTGCTCCTGCCCCTTTTTTCTGTATTTAAAAAATGTTTAAATGGTCACGATTTGTTCTGCTTTCAATTGTCAAATCTCCTCCGGGAGCTCCTCCCGGGAACGGACCTGCTGGAGTCCGAGGGTCTCATTTGGGCCTGGGCGGTGATGGAGGGGGCCTGAGGCGGTCGCCAGGAGTGGGGACGCAGAGGAACTCCTTGTTGGTGCTTTTGGCGTCCAGGCCCCGCTCCAGGAGTGCATGGAGCAGAGGGGAAGTGGCCTGCCCAGAGCTGCCCAGCCTGACGGGCCCACTCCCACTCTCCTCTCTGTCCCTGGTCTCTTGCCCCAGCTCATTACCGATTCAGCCTTAAGATCTCTTAGTACTTTGTGCCTTCCTGTTCTCAAAGGGAGCACAGCAGATGGTGTGGCCCCTCACCAGGCCACAAGCCTGGCGGCCCGCCTCATGCCTGGGTTGCCGCTGCTCTTCTCAGGCTCGGAGGTGAAACTCAGACCCTGGGCTGACTGGACTCCCAGAGGGCAGTGGGGAGGTTAGGAAGAGGTGGAATGGCAGGGAGGACATCTATTTTTCCAGTGTTTTTAGCCAACGGATTCGGAGCTGCCCTGTCTAGGAAGCCCAGTGGCCCTGATGCGGTGACCGTGCTCGTCGGTGTGGTGGTCAGGACGCTGCCCGTGCCAAGGAGGAAAACCTGGCTTTACCACTGCTGCTCCACAGGCTGTGCTGGCTCAGGCCACCTGGGCCCTGGTCCAGTCTCCTGTCTTCCCTAACTTGCTACTGCAGTAGCTCCAGCACCTCCTGCTGCGCCTCCGGTGTTTCCAGCACTCACTCCTTGCTACTCCAGTAGCAAAAGGTTGTGGGTGAGGATGCTGGGAGAGCCCTCGGTGGAATGTGGCGAGGTCCCCACAGGGACTAAGGATTTAGAAAAGAAAACTGGCCGGCGCTGCGGCTCACTAGGCTAATCCTCCGCCTTGCGGCGCCGGCACACCAGGTTCTAGTCCCGGTTGGGGCGCCGGATTCTGTCCCGGTTGCCCCTCTTCCAGGCCAGCTCTCTGCTGTGGCCAGGGAGTGCAGTGGAGGATGGCCCAGGTGCTTGGGCCCTGCACCCCATGGGAGACCAGGGAAAGCACCTGGCTCCTGGCTCCTGGCTCCTGCTATCGGATCAGCGGATCAGCGCAGTGCGCCGGCCGCAGCGGCCATTGGAGGGTGAACTAACGGCAAAGGAAGACCTTTCTGTCTCTCTCTCTCACTGTCCACTCTGCCTGTTAAAAAATAAAAAAGATAAATAAAAAAAAAAGAAAACCGCTGGTGCTCCCTTGTGCACACGCCCCACCTGCTGGTCAAGCGGCAGCACTGCACTGTTGAAAGGCTGCTTCGCCCCGGGCGCTGAGCTTGGGCTGGTGATGAGGTCCAGGTCCACGCTTGCCCCGGATCCGCTGGAATCAGTGGGCTTCAGAGAACGTGGGTGTCGCTAAAGCCAGTCTGAGGCCTGTGGTCCTAGATCTTGCGCCATCTACCGACTCGTCCTGATTCCTCTTTAAACCAACGACTCCATGACTCTGCCACCTGCGTCTCCGGTCTGTCCACGCTACTCCACTCTCAGCTGCCCTTGTGGAGAGTCCTCTCTCAGCAGCTAAAAGCAGCCCTGGGCGGAGCTGTGTCGCACCCTCAGGGTGGTCACCCATCACTACCGCCATTCAGGCAGATCCAGCTTCCTTGTCCTACTCACTCATCTACCTCAGCCTCCCGGGCACTCGATTCATCTCTTCACTGTCCTCTTCCTAAGGGTGGGGAAACTGGGGGCAGGAAATGACCACTGGCTGTTTCTATCTCTGGAAGGTCGCTGAAGAGGTTAGCTCCCTCCTCACCCTAGAATGGGCTGGGCAGGCTGGGCGTGCCTGGCGTCGCCCCCAGGTGCACAGTGGAGGAGGGAAGGTAACCGGGCACCTGCGGGAGGGGCTGTCCCTACCCTCCCTCCGCAGGGCCCCGGCTTCCAGCTCATCACTGGCTTCCCCACGCCAACGCCCTGCCCGGCCTTTCTGGGTGGGCCAGCAGTCTGTCGCATGCACTTACTGCCTTGGACAGGAAATAGGCTTAAGCAGCTTCTGCATTTTTTTTTCCATTATCCAGTGTTTTTATTTCTTCTATGCCAGCGCCGGCCCTGCCTGTAGCTTTTCTGACCCCCTGGTCTTCCCACATTGCTGTCCTACAATTTGACAAGAGCTGTGTTTTGCCTTATTTTTTAATAAAAAAGTTCACATCTTGGTGCCTTGTCTATGGTTAGGAGGTGGGAAGCTGGTGATGGGCCCGTACTTTGCTACTCCAGAAACACGGACAGCAGTTTAGGAAGCTAAGGCCGCGGCTCCCAAGAAGGCAGGAACCAGGCACGCTGCCCGCACACTGCCCCCACTCTGCCCAGGGACCTCCCTCACTTCAGGCTGCCGCACCGAGAACCACGCCTCCACGCCTCCGTGCGTGCGGGGCGGGTGAAGTGGGGAGGTTCAGGAGTGCACCCGCCCCACCCCGCCCACGGAGACAGACCTCCCCCCCGAGGCCTGGGTGACAGCCCATGCGCAAGGGAAGATAAATACACAGAGGCTTTGAATCTCTATCAAATGTGGTTTTTATTCAACTGACAAGCACTTTCTACAGCTGCACTTGTGGAACATCACATGGCAAAAACAGGAGTCTTTCTCTAGACTTTTTTTTTTCCTTTTTAAACCTTATTAAAAATGAGATTGGTCCTAAAAATATAGAAAGAAATAAATTTAAATTCACAAAAAACTGTACATTATCAAAAAGTCACTAAAACACCACATTTGGTTATATAAAAAGTCAGTCCCTTTTGTTGTAAAAGGAACGTGGAAACTTGTTGGTGTCGATGGTGTGGTTTCTTCCTGTTACCAGACTGATGGGGGAGGGGAAACAGAGGGCAGGGTGGCTTGTCTTTGCTTTTTCACCTGTCTTCCCTACCGAATACTCCTTATCGTCAAGAAGAGAAAACCCACCTAACTCAAGGGGTGGTAAGGATGAGGAAAGAGAACTGAGAAATGGCCCCTGTGATCATCCCCGCTCCCCACCCCCTTCAAACCTGAGGTGAGGACCCCCCCCACCTGAAGAGTGCCTGGTCCCTAGGGAAAGAGGTGGGCGGGGGCGGAACACAGAGCCGGAGCCGCCAGGCCCTCCGCCTCCCCTCCCCTGCGAGGAGAGCGAGCTGGCGCGGCGCCGCCGGGGAAGCCCGGGTGGAGGAGCCCCCGCTCCAACAGCCCAAACAGCTGGCCAACACAAAGTCTGTTACAGCGCAGTTACTTAGATAAAATATAAATATTTATGCATAATATAAAGTCAATTCAAATATTCTTCAATCCACCTCTTATTTAAAAGCAAAAAACAAAAATCTCAAATAAAGTTAAAAGTTTTGAGGTTTATCTGACAGAAAAGGCGACTTTAGAAATAGGCTATGGGGGAGAAGGGACATACGGGAGAGGGAGGGGCTGCCCGGGCCCACACTGCCCCGCCCCGCCAGTGCTGTGCCCCGCCCGGCACCCTCCCCCGCCAAGGGAGCAGCGGCCTCCCCAGTGCAAGTACCCGTAATCTCCGACGGGAGGCGCTCTGCTGAGCAGGAAAGCGGGGGGCCGGGGCCCATGGCTATCACGTGCACTTAGGCGCTTTCCTCTCACCTGCTGGGGGCTTAACTCACCGGCCCTGCGGGGCAGTGGTAGACCCAGGGCTTCCCCCTGCCCTCTCTCCTGTGCTCCGGGGTCTCTGCTGCTGGGGAGGGGGCAGAAAGCACAACTAAACCCACAGAAGCTCAAGGGATTTTGGAAAGATCCAGTTCTAGCCCTCTCCCTGCAAAAGCTTAAAACTCGAAGCCTCTGAGGAGGGAGCGCCTGCTGAAAGATTGCACAGTTTGCAGAGGCTGGAACAGAGGGACGAGGAGAGAGGAGGGAAACAGCCTTGTCCCCAGAGAGCTTGTTCCTGTGGTTTCCCAAAGACAAAAAACAAACGATAGTTTGAGACGACGGGAAAAGGGATAAAAACAGGTAATTTGGGGAAACTGAATGGGATCCCAGCAGTCACAGCATCCCCTCCCTCCCCCCGTCTCACACTCACACACTCACACACACACACTCTCACACTCGCTCTGAGGCCAGTTAACTGCTCCCTGGCCTTCATCTTGGGGTGTGCCCAAACTCAGCAGTACTTGTCCCTGAGGAGTTCCCGAGCGGGAGGTTTGGGGAGGAGGCGGGAAGGCCCAGGCGCCGGCCGCCCCTCTCCCCAGCTGCCGAGTTTCAGAGAAGGCTGGAAACTCAGCGTGGAGGACAGCCACGGCAGGAAGAGGACAGCAAGACGGGGGCCTCCGAACTTTTTTTTTTCCTTTGCAGGGTAAAAAGTGGGAGAAAGGAGGGGAAGAACCCGTACACGATAGTTTTCCATTATTGGACGAGAGAAAATTTGAAAAAATGGAGGGCAGAGGGGAAGGAAAAGAAAAACTCGAGAGCAAGTGAGGAGCAGGAAAGACTGAACATGGAAGCAGCATGTCCAGGGCCCGGTGTCCGGCTCGACACACTGGGAGTAAGTCCACTTACTGGCCGTCACTGCGGGTCCGCACACAGTACAGAGTGTTTCTCGGTTTCACACATTCACTAGAACTATTGCTATTGTTAAATAACCCCAGGATGCTGGGGCGGTACAGGGAGGGGGGGGCCAGGAGGAGGAAGCGGGGCCTTCTCTCCCCCTCCCATTTTTAAGTAGGAAATAAAACAGAAAGGAGAAATTATTTTTCTTTTTTTGGCTTTCAGTCCAGAAGGACCTCATCTCTGCCCCTCTGATCTAAGGAGCAGGAGGAGGAAGGGAGATGGGTGCGGGGTAAGAGAGGATGTGGGTGCTGCCGTGGGCAGGGTCCAAAATCAGGATTATCTGACTCAGCCTGACCCAGGGCAGCATCAGCAGTTGAGAATGGCAGGTTTGTTTGTTTGGAAGGTGGGCGGGGCCACCCCGCCTCCCTCGCCTCACAGATTGGCCTGTTTTCCCTGATAAAACTCCTCCCAGCGG